AAGATATATCCAACTAACAGCACGATAGACAGACGAATCGCGTGTCTAAATAACACCGACTCTGGGGTGAGATGTTGTTTAATCCGAACCTTAATGTCATCCCAGCCTTTCAGGTCATCATCTTTGAGCTGGCTTTCGATATGCTTAGCTTTATCGAGTTTAATATTGCGTTCAGTTTCTAAGTTACGTAGCTGCGCATCAATCGACTTTAAGTTTTGATACAGTGAAAACAGAGCATTGACCCAAATTTGGTCGTATTGTTGTTCGTCTCTGAGCTTTTCTAATGATAAACGGAGGTTTTCAAATGCATGTTTAAAGCGCTTATTATGGGTGTAGGTTTGACGGTTTAAGATGCTGCTGCTTAAGTCCTTACAGGCTTTAGCTTGTATAGATAAAATTCGTTGAAAGCGGAATAAGATATCGCTGTGTTGAAAAATTTTCGCCAGTTTTTGATAGTCAATATGTGCTGAATCTGCACGCTCGTGAATATCTTGTGCCACAAAATAATATTGCAGACTGCGACGGGTATCTCGTTGTCCACGGTCACCTTTTAAACGGGTGAGTAGGGCGGTTTTCATGTCGTTGAAAATTGCAATTAATTTACCATTTTCCAACGACAGTTCAATCATGCTCTGTTGATAGCTGTTAGCTGTCATATCGACATCAAACAGGTTGGATTTGGCAAACAGAAAATCGGCGAGTGAGGAATAACACTTCGATAGATTGTCTTGTACCTGACGAACGGGAAAGAGCAGAAAACTGATGGTTGAAATAATACTATACCAAATTGCCCCAATCACCAGCAAAGACGGTTGTGTATACCAGTTGTCAAAAAGTCCAACACCGAGCATGGAGTAAACCGAAACCACTAAGCAACCATAGGAAATGGTGGCATAACGACGTCCCAGTGAACCCAGTAAAATCAGACCAATACACGAAACGATTAGACCCAGTGCGAATAAAATTGGGTGCGGAAATAAAAAGTAAATCGACGTTGCGGTAATGAAAAAGCCAATATAGGTAAAAATTAAATTCATGATTCGCACGGAAAAGCGGTCATCAATATCACTTAAACCCGCAGCAACTGCGCCGAGTGTCAGCGGAATAGTTGCCAGTTGAAAACCCATAAAATATGGAACAAAAGCAGTCCCTGCAAAAGTAATGACCATGCGGAGGTTATACATGAAGGTTGTATTATAAGTAGCCTGTTTTAGACTGGTCAGCCATGCTTTCAAAGGGCACCTTTGTTTGTCGCTTAGGGTTGGACAATTTTCAAATATGAGAATATGTGAAATTTCACCTGCTCTGGTATAAATCATACTATGGAGCGTGTAAACTTGTCTGCAAACTCTCCTTCCAAAACATAAATTAATCCTATGTCGACTACACAGGAAAAAGCGGTCTATTCCAACGCTTGGATTCTCTTACTTGCTTCACTGACTGCACTCGGTCCACTGTCTATTGATATGTATTTGCCTGCTTTGCCACAAATGGCGAATGACTTTGGGGTAAGCACACAAATGGTGGCCAACAGCTTACCTGCGTACTTCTTAGGCTTGGCTATTGGACAACTGATTTATGGACCTGTAAGTGACCGAATTGGGCGGAAAAAACCGCTGTATTTTGGACTGAGTCTCTACATTATTGCCAGTTTACTGTGTGTGTTTGCAAACAGTGAGTGGAGTCTCATTGCCGCTCGAGTTTTGCAAGCCTTAGGCGGTTGTGTGGGCGTGGTGATTGCCCGTGCTGCGATTCGTGACCGTTTAGATATGCAAGCCTCAGCCCAAGCATTTGCCAGTATGATGATTGTGACCACCATCGCGCCGATTATTGCACCGAGTTTAGGCGCGCTGGTACTGAGTTTCAGTAGTTGGCATAGTATTTTCGGCTTTTTGATGATCGTTGGCTTGGGAAGTTTGTGTTGCGTACATTTTTTCTTTGAAGAAACTTTAGACCCGAAGCGTCGTTTAAAGCTTAACTTTAACCAAGTTTTAAACCTCTACGGAGCGATTCTGCAAGATTCGAGCTTTAGACGCCCGATGTTTGTTGGATGCTTTGCTGGGGCTGTACTCTTTTGCTATATCAGTGCTTCTGCTGCCATTCTGATGGATGGTTACGGCTTAAGTCAGCAAGTTTTTGCCTATGCCTTTGGTGCCAATGCAGTTGGGATTATGCTGTTCTCGACCTTAAATAAACGTCTGGCACAAAAGTTAAGTGTTTTTCAGCGCTTAAAATTAGGCAGTTTTTTGCAACTGGCTGGTGTGGGGCTGCTGTTGGTAGCGGGTAGCATGACGCATGCGCCCTTATATATCGTTTGCGCAGGGATGTTTCTCGCTGTCGCAGCAATCGGTTTTACAGGGCCAAATGCCATGGCGATTGCAATGTCTGAGCAGGGTGCACGGGCAGGAACGGCCAGTGCGATTATGGGCAGTATGCAATTTGGTTGTGGTCTACTTTGTGGTGTGATTCTTAATTTTCTACTCTGGTCGGCACTTTTGAATATGGCCATTGTCATGGCTATTTTTGTGGCTTTGGCTTTGTATTATGTGTTTAAGCTTGAGCACGAAAAAGCCTAAAAATTGAAGTTGTGACTATATAAAAAAAGAGACTTATTTTAGTCTCTTTTGTTATTTAAATGAATGCTTTAAATGTTAATCATTATTTAATAATACTGCAAAATCTTCAACTGGTACGCGTGGTGTTATAAAGTGATTGACGATCTGCTCAGGATCCGTATAACCCAGTGCCATGCCGCAGACCAATTCTTCAAATTGTGCAGCACCAAGTATATTCAGCACGAGAGCATGAAGATGATTCCAT